TTCCTTGCAAACTGGTATTAAAACTTAACACATATTAAGGTTGGGAAGTATTAACCAATTCAAGTATATTGCAGAGAACCAGGCACAGAGGAAGGGCTAAATGTTAGTAGTACAAGCCTTCATCCTTGATAACATTAAGTCATTCTTTTGAATCCAGACCCCAAACTATATGATTTCAAACACCTTTAAAGCTTTCATCACTAACTCTGATTCCACATACTCTTTGACCCACATTGACACACATGGCACCATTATCCAGCAAAACTTGCAATCGAGAAAAAGTATAGCTCACGTGGCTTCCTCCCTGTCCATCAGCCCACAAATCCAAGGGAAAATCCCAAGATGCCACCATAAATCCCCTGTTATCACCGCAGTCATGTTGGTCCAACAAGCTACTGTCTCTTGCCTTGGCAACTACAATTGATCCCCAATGCATCTGACTTTATTGTCCCTAAATTTCTGATTTTCTTTATAAGGCAAAGTGAACAGGCCTGCGACGGCTTTCCACTGCATGTAAAGCTGTATTCAGGCTTCTCTCTCAACCAGACAAGGTGCTTGCCTTCCTCTCCAGCTGACTCCTTGAATACCATCCTTGAGCCACAGTGAATTTTTGTTACTAAAACACACGCCCTTGCTCTTCTGCTTTGAGCCTCAGTTCACTCACCATCTTGAGAGACGTGACTGGCAGGTCTACGCATGTCCCCTGCTTGTTACTCTCTTTCCTGCCAAATGGTTGGTTTGCTGCATAGCCTCCCATAACTTTCAACGCGTTTATCTGATTTCCCCACCAGTCTGTCATCTCATGAGGAAAGGAAATAGTTTCTGCTGTGTTCATCACTACATGCACATATCATGGTTGAGACCCATTCCTAGCAAGTCAGTTATGTCAGAAAAGAGTAAACCTATGAATTTTTAATATAATAAGACATGGCATATAGTATTTTAACAAAGGCTTAACAATTTTCTTATTTGAAACATAGATAGCTTGTGAAGAAGCTGAGAATGGGCAATAGTCGTGTTCCTTTAAAACGTATTCCTATCCAGGTATTTCTTCTTCCTAGACAGGGTTGGAGAAGTTTCAAGATCTACAAAATAGAAAGAGTTAAAAAAAAAAGGAGATGGAAAGTGTCTGATCATTCTCCCGACGAGGGAATCTGGAAGGCTGGAGGGTAGCCCTCTCCCCGTGGGGTGTCACACTGAAATCTTTTACACCTGCTGACCATCGTCCACTTGTCCACTCAGCCCTTAAACCCCTGAGAGAAGGGCTAACATTGGGGCCGCCTTTTCTGCATCCCAAGTCCCAGGTTTACATGACAAGTCACCTATAGAACTTCTACCACATTCATGTGGTTACTCATCACTGTCATTAGGAAATATGGCCCAGAAATAAATTAAAAATACTTGTGTCCAAAAGGTGGCTAATTTGCATACTAATTTAAAAGAGCAGATAAATTTAAACAATTTAACACTAGTCCTGAAATACAGTATATTGCATTTTAAGGGCTTTTTTCAATTACACTTAAATTATGATTGAGTTAAAATTAAATATAATATGTTTTGAATATAACTTCAATTTTCTCTTTCCAGTAATCCTGTCTTCTTTTAATGATTCGTATCACCACATTATCATTATTTAACACTGCTTTGGAAATAGTAGACCATTTTTAAAAAGTCACCTCAACTGTATTAACATTTTAAAGCCTGCTTCCTTTAGAAAAATGCCAATAATTTTCATTTTAATAAAGTTGAAAACAAGGCATGACAGCCAATAATTAATTACTTCTTAAACACTGCTTTCATTGTATCATTGTGCTTGGCCCTTATTTCCTCTTCTGACTCCCAAGATCATTCATAATCTGCTTCTACATATTTACACTCATTTGCTCACTTAGTCCTTTCATTAAAAAAGACATTTTGCATTTAATAATATAAGACCTTTTTGTAAGATAAGAAAGCATGAAATATGAAATATAAGCTTCCCTTTAACAACAGCAACAACAACAACAACAACAACAAAGCTCATTTTAAATTAAAGGGATACTGTGAAGCCAGACACTTGGACCTGAAAGTTCTCCCTTAAGGCAGGAGCTGCCTGGCAACATCATCCAGATGCTGGTGAAGCAAACCAACCACCAGGTCAACTGGAGGGGAAATGACTTGCTGACCAGCCGGCCACAGCACAGGGGCCAGGGGATTGTAAAGACGACCTGGCTCTTTCCCTGCCACAGGGACCCCTTTCTCCCCTAATTGGTGCAAATAGATGAGATTTTCTGCTATCGGTTTTCTTGTACAGTTTCACAACCCTGTGAAAAACACAAAGAAGGCAAAACAGATAACAAATCCCTAAAGATGCAGTACTGACAGTTTTGTACTGACAGGAACTCTCTTAAATGAATTCTTTTCATTTGATGAGTCCTGAAATTAAGACATTGATTCACTTCTTTGCAGAGCACTGAAAATTTCAATAGGCACAACAGAGCCAAAAGATCACCACACAGATCTAGCAAATGACGAAGACCCAGCTTCTTGATAACTTACAAAACTACTGACCATCTTGTTGAATCTTTCAATTTGTAAACATGGAAACTAAATCACACTGAATTTTTAGAGTCACTGAAGTTTCTCTAAGGTCATAGAGCCAACCCGTAGTAGAGGACTAGAGCCTCGCCCTTCCAAATCCCAGCTCAATACTCTCGTCTGTCAAGATGGGACAGCACGGTCCTATCTGCATTTTCTAAGGTGTTGATAGTATTTATATCACAATATCATGCTGACAGCATAGGTTTTAATAATAGCATACCTTGCTTGATTTTTCTTTCTTCTAACTTCCCCAAGTGTTTTCTTTTGTCCTCAATTACTCATAAGCTCTGTGAGGAGCAGAACCACATCAAATCTCTCCTGCAGGACTCCCAGAGGCTTTCACAGTTCTGAGAGCCAGTGTGGGGCCTGCTGAGTCTGTGCTGGTTGACAGGAGGAAGCTGGCCAGGGACACACTGACTGATACAGGTTTTTGTATGACAGGTTTGTATGACAGGTTTTTAATGACTGAACAGCATTTCCATAGAGATTTTTAAAGTTGGGAAAACTTAGCAAGAGAAACTTGACATGGATTGCGATTGTCAATTTTTGCATGTGTATATGGCCCTGCACACAAGGCGTGATGGGGTTTGCCCATTTCACCCCCTCCGCACTCCCATTGCTTTCTCATGAGTCATTTGAGAGGACTTACCAGGCTCAGAGGGTCTAAGCAGTGTGCCCAAGGTTACCCACTAGCAAGTCATACAAAACATTAATGGTCAGTAGCTGGAAACATGAATGTGATCCACACATTTAATGCCAAGGGAGTAACTTGGCTTATGTGTGTTGTTTGATCTTCATAATAGGAATTAATGCCAAGGAACAACAACAACAACAAAAAGTATTTGAATTTCCTTTTATCTTTTTCTTTTTTTGAAACAGGGTCTTGCTGAGTGTAATGGCAATATCCATAGCTGACTGCAGCCTTGAACTCCTGGGCTCAAGGGACCTTCTTGCCTAAGCTTCCCAAGTAGCTAGGACTACAATCACATGCCACCACATTCTGCTAATTTTTGAAATTTTTATAAGAATGTGGTCTCTTCTGTGTCATCCAGGCTGGTGTTGAACTCTTGGGCTCAAGTGTGCCTCCTGCCTCAGCCTCCTAACATGCTGGGGTCACAGGCATGAGCCACTGTGCCCCGCCGTGTTTGAATTTCTATGTTATTTTCAAATTCACAGAGATATGGTATATACATAATTTAAAAAACCAATATCTCAATGAAACAAAATATATTTAACAGATAGACTTGAATATTACTATAAATAAAATCATGATTTATGAATTTTAGAATTTTTCTTCTCCATTTTAATTGTTTGAAATCTAATTTTGAGCATGTGGTGGGGGCAGGGAGAAGGTAAAACAACATAGATACTCAAAGGAATTAAAAATTAAAACCCAGGAGCAGAGGTGGTGAGAGAGAAATCAAAGAGTATGCTTTGGTAAAATAAATTTGCAATATCAATTATAATATGTATACTAAAGGGGTGCCTGTGGCTCAAAAGGGTAGGGCCCTGGTCCAGTCCCCATATGCCTAAGGTGGCGGGTTCAAACCCAGCCCCGGCCAAAAACTGAAAAAATAATAATAATAATAATAAATGTATACTAAAGTGGATCAAGGTAAAACAAAGTACTCCAATAATTCAATTACCTTTTAGAAGTATCTTATACATTATCATTTATCGTCAATTGATCTCTGTCAATTCAAAGAAGAAAAAAAAGAACGCCAGTCTGAGGACGTTGACAAATTTTTCCACGTATGATTAAGGGCTCTTTCTGAAGAGCACTCTGGGGAAGGTGGTGCAGCCCTGAGCTAGGGCTCTGTAACTACTAGTGACCATTTGAATTGTAATGTTGACAAAAGCATATCTGTTCCCAAGCTGTTAACACCGTGAACCCACATAGTCCCCAGGCGTAAATAACCCTCTGCGCTGTTGAGATACAGGTGCCGCTGGGCAGAAGGATGTCCCCCTGTCCACAGAGGGCGTGGAGGCCATGAGGGTTTGATCACCCCCAAACAAGAGGGAGATGACAATGTGATAGTAATTCCACATAATTACGGCTTTTCAAATTTATGATTATCCCCTGATGACAATGAAAACCTGGTAACCAACCAAAGAAACTTGTGCTTCAGGCCTCCTTCATTTCAGCATTCTTGTATGTTAAATATGGGAGACCAACTATTTTTTTTTTTTTTGCAGTTTTTGGTTGGGGCTGGGTTTGAACCCCCCACCTCCAGCATATGGGGCCAGCGCCCTACTCCTTGAGCCACAGGTGCCGCCCCACTTTTTAAATATAATACAGTTCTAGGCCCATTTTGGACACCCAGCACAGTCATGCAAGATCTCACACAGGTTTCCATGGGACCCTAACAAAACTGAGAGTGAATTAAAATATCACAAGGCCCGGAAGGGCGGCTACTCACGATGTTCATCAGGGTTAGGAGGTAGTTCTGCACGTGCTCCCTGCCGTGGAAGCGGACCACCGAGTCGTCCACGCCCAGCAGCACCTCGATGTTGTAGTTGCCGTCGGCCACGTGTCTGCGCCTCCGCGCGGCGCTCAGCCTCCGGCCCAGGCTGCTGGAGGCGGCGCCCAGGCCCGCGGGGCCGCCCACGTCCTCCGCGTCTATCCGGAAACAAAAGGAACCCAGGAGTTCAGTTTTCCCAGCGGCCCTTCTAATAACGACCTAGAGAGAAGACTCTTCGCAGGGGCCTGTCACTGCCATCGGCCAGCACTGAGTGGCCTGACACCTGCCTGCGATGGCATTGGGTGAAGCCAGCGGGGAGCCAGGCCAGGGCGAGAGGGCAGGGCAGGCGGGGACACTGGTGCTTCCCAAGGCAGAGGGGCTCGTCCTCAGCCCAGGCGCAGCCCCCTCCTCAGCGTGCACAGCAAGGACAGTGGGGGCACAGGACAGGCTGGGGCTGACTGGGCAGCTGTCCCCTCAGTGCATGTAAAAGCCACCTGTCAGTATGTTTTAGTGTGGTTAATGCACGTCACTACAACTATGGAATGTAGCATTTGTGTCACATGCATTTAAATCACTCCTCTGTCCAATAGCTTTAATTTAGAAATCAAATCACACCATGACTGCACAGCATCTAGTGACATGGTCACTCTGCAAGTGTTCCTCTATTTCTTCTGAGGATGACATTCTACTGAATGCTGGGAGGGAAGAATCGTCACACAAGGTGCGTCACTGAACGCTGTAGCTCTGCCTGTGCTGCCACGGTGGGAGGGCTGGTCATCCCAGTCATGTGTATAGGGACCCTCCATAGCTGACCCCCTCCCTATACTGACCCCCTCCCTGCACTGACCCCCTCCCTATACTGACCCCCACCCTATATTGACCCCCTCCCTATACTGACCCCCACCCTATATTGACCACCTCTCTACACTGACCCCCTTCCTACACTGATCTCCTCCCTATACTGACCCCCACCCTATATTGACCACCTCTCTACACTGACCCCCTCTCTACACTGGCCTCCTCCCTACCCTGACCACCTCCCTACATTGACCCCCTCTCTACACTGACCACCTCCCTACACTGACC